AGTCCTAAAAAAAGTGACAATTTTTTTCAATTTTATTTATTTATTTATTTTTAGCTGTGGCTAATTGTGTTAGTTGTGTCAACATGCAAGTAATTACATGAAAGTGACGTGACGTGACGTGACATGTGGCCAAGTATGGTGACCCATACTCGGAATTAGTGCTCTGCATTTAACCCATCCAAAGTGCACACACACAGCAGTGAACACACACACACCGTGAACACACACCCGGAGCAGTGGGTAGCCATTTATGCTGCGGCGCCCGGGGAGCAGTTGGGGGTTATTCACTCCCCCCACCTACAATCCCTGCCGGTACGAGACTCGAACCCACAACCTTTTGGGTTATGAGTCCGACTCTCTAACCATTAGGCCACGACTTCCCCACATTAATGAAGATTAATACCAAATATTTAGAGATGAATAAAACTAGTTAATATACTCAAGACTAGATTATTGCAATGCAAAACGGGCTGGATGTCTTGCAGTCTCCATTAACAAGCTCCATAAACAATCTGGTAATGTACCAGCCAAACATCGAGGGACACTTCACAGACCACTGCGTGCATCTCTAACAATTATTCTAGCATGGGCTTTAAAGACTACAATGTGTTGAATTACAACCAAGACCAGCCAGACAACGAGTTCTGCTTTACTGATTGTCTTACTTATTAATCACATTTATTCTATGATCAGTATTACACTTAAGATGTAACTACATTTATTACATTTATTGTACTGTGTTGCCAAAGGAGGATGGACTTTTAAGTGTTTTTCTCTAAAGATTTTTCTCCCGCAGAGAAACAAGACCAAAAACGAAAAAATCAAACGATGATTCATTGCCTATTCCTACTGTGTGTGATCAACACCTTGAGTGCCAATAATCTCCATGTGCAGGTGGGCAATGCCGCTGGCAATGGACAATGCCAAAACTATCATCCCCTCCACTGATACTGTGTATCTGTTCAGGTAATCAAAGAGAGACCCGTGCTCATGATACTCAGACACCAGCCACAGTTGTGTCCATGAGCCATTATCTGAAGAAAGACAACAAACAAATAAATAAATAAATAAAGAGATAAATAAACAAATAAATAAATAAATAAAGATAGATAGATAGATAGATAGATAGATACAGGACATCCAAACACATTCAAGGTTATTTGAAAACCTATGTATGCCAAAAGTTCTTAGAAATGTACTCTTTGTGTTCATGTTGGTTTCATAACTTTTAAAAAAAACTTGAAATTTAATTTAGTTTTGATGTACTGTAATAACTCAAAAATGTAATGAAATATTTTCCTGACACCTGTACATATGACTGTACATGTAATAATACTTTACCTGTTCATAATCATTAGCATTAGCCCATTTCACAAATGTATTTCAAATATACAGGTGCAATCAAAATTATTCAACACCCCAGAGACTGTAATACTTTAGAAATGCAAACTTTTCAGAAGATCTAGAATTCTTTTTTTTTTTTTTTAAATAAAAAAAAGTGATAATGTCAATATATATTGTAATATTTTTTTTTAGTTTTTTTTGAGAATTTTTTAATAACACAGCTATGTCATAATTATTCAAACCCTGTGCAATATTCCTGTTTCGCTAAAATATTTTGTGAAATTTGAAGCAAGCAGTGGTAATGTGAAAACCAAAAATCAGTGATCTGGAAGCATTTTCAAGTGAGTAATGGCCAAGATTGTGACAGAAGAGAGGTGACAGAAGCTTCTAAGCACTAACAAGCAGTGTTTATTGGATGTTATAAAGAATAAAAGATTCTGCACCAAATTTGACTTTTGGGGGTTGAATAATTTTGTACATGAATGTTTAGCGCACATTTTTGTTTTAGTTTGTTGTTGTTGTTATCAGTTTTTTTTTTTCTTTATTCATCAACTTTATGTTCTAAGAATCACTCAAATGTGTATTAATAAACTTAATAGTTTACTGATGCATTTGTTTGTTTGTTTTTTGCATAAAATTTTGTTTTCACCAGCAAAATCTAATTTTGATTACAACAATATATATATATATGTTTTTATATATTTCCCCCCTGGTGGAATGACCTGCCCAACTCAATCCGAGCAGCTGAGTCCTTACCCATCTTCAAGAAACGACTAAAAACACATCTGTTCCACCTTTATTTGACCCTCTAACTCTAGCACTTTCTATTCTATCTATATTCTACTTTATCTATATTTATCTTTTCTTTAATTTTTTTATTTATATTGTCCTCATTTGTAAGTCGCTTTGGATAAAAGCGTCTGCTAAATGACTAAATGTAAATATATATATATATATATATATATATATATATATATACTGTATGCCAGCATTGAACTGAATTATTATTATTATTATTATTATTTACTATATATATTATGTCTTTCAGGAACACATAATATTTTGAAGATTTTTGAAGTTACCCAACTGACACTATGGGAACACATACGTAACCAAGTCATTCGATTTCATAGGTTCACTTGACGTTGCTTAAGTAGCTGATGCTATGAGAACAGTATACCACAGCACCATAATAGTACAGTAACTGCTGGGTTATCAGCCTGCTACTACACACATATCCTCCCCTGCTACAGCCACCTTAGCAACCAAATAGCTGCTCAGACTTGCTCGTATGGTCAAAGTAAACCTTTAATGCCCTAACTGGGCAAAGCCTGTGCAACCTTTCACTCTTCCAAGACTCAAAGGGTGGAGAAGAAAAGGACTGTAATAAAACAGCTTGAGAGCAATACGAAGTCAACGCAACCTTGACTATATATAGAAACATAGGTCAAAACAAGACCTTCACCAAATCAGGAGCAAAATCCATACAGGAAGGGCTCATTAACAAGGCCAGTAAATCTCTCTAAAGGCCAGAGTCTATTGAGAGAAGAGAGAGCCAATAACGTTTTAAGAGTCCAAAACATCCCTGAGGCTGACTCCAATGGCTCGAACATGCTCAGCAGCAATTGCAGCCAAATCTACCTTGAGAAGCTAGCTGAAGCTGCACCCACAGAGAAAAACTCTTGAAGGAATGCCAGCACTGTACTAACAGACCAGTGAACCAAATCCAACCCTTGCTCTCTGCACCATGAAGCAAAAAGCTGCCACTTGAAGGCACAGTTATCTCGGAAGAGAGATTAGAATCAGTCAGAGTGCTCCATTCAGAGGCCAAACCCAAAGATTCAACATCCCTGGACGAGGATGCCATATAGTGCCCGAAGCCTGAGAAATGCATCTGGCTTAACTGGAATCTCCCAAGGAAATCCCTCCAGAAGAGATAACAGGTCTGAAAATGAAACCTGGGATGGCCAAAATGGAGCGACTAACAGAAGATGCACTCTGTCTTCCTTCACCCTCAGAAGAACCACTGAGAGCAGCTGTATCGGCAGAAAATGTACAGGTTGGCCCATAGCCACTGTTATGCCAGAGCATCTCTTGCCAGAGGTGATGGAGGAGACAGAACCAAAGAGGGCACTGGGCTGTCAAAGCAACAGATCCACCTCTGCCCTGCCAAATCAGACTCACTACTTAAGAGTGTAGCCTTTACTCTCTGGGCCTCAACCCATGCCTTGAGAGCAAGTCTGCTCCCAGGTTTAGCCAACCTGAGACATGGACCACCCTCAATGACAGGAAACTTGCTCTGTGCCCAGAACAGAACACAACTTGCTCACTTCCACAAGGGATAAGAATGCATTCCCCCTTGACGTTTCAGTTTCTTGTGAAAATTGACCAAGGCCAGAAACACAGCCATCTTCTCTAAGCACATTTATGTGTCAAATGAGATGAATGCCCACACCCCATCTCACCAAAGAGGCATCTGTGATGATTGTCTTGCAACGACAGATTGCACCTAGAATTAGTTGGGTAACAAAGTCCAACAGCACCTGTACGGAATGCCAGCAGGGACTTACCCCCTGACTGTTAAACTATTAAACGAGCCTCATATTGAGCAGGTCAAACGAAACTCCCGAGGACACTGATGTCATAATACCTAATAGAATGGGATATAAACCCACTTGGATCATCTGCCCTTCCCTGCTCTAAAACGACAGAGGAGAGAATCAACTGCACTGTGCATTAGACCAGATCCCCTCCTAGAAATAAAAAATATCTGTTACCTCAGCATCAAGATGCACTTCTGAAGCCTCCACAAATGATGGAGAGCCATCTTCTACGATTGCGGGAAAATAAACCAATCTTTGAGGAAGTTTAAAACACGCACAACCTGGAGCCTCAATGGGCAAGAGCGGAATCCATGGATTCCACTAATATATGCGGAGCCAGGGCCAATCCGAATGAAAGAACACAAAACTGGTCATCTCTGCCCATAAAAGCAAACCTGAGGAACTTCCTGTGTCTCTGGATGATCTGAATACAAAAATATGCATCCTTCAGATGGACCGTCACGAACAAATCTCTGGTTTTAATCTAAAACAGAATGAACTTAAGTGTCAAAACTGTTAAACTGCACACTTTTGTGAAGTACAAAAGATGCAAATCCAGGATCAGACACAAACAATCATCCTTCTTCGGTACCAGAAAATGCCAGCAGTAAAAGCAGTATACAGTGCTATGTAAAGGTGACTTGACTTGACTTCTATAACCTTGCTGTATGATTAGAAGAACCCAATGAGAAGTCACCATGGCAGAAGTCACCATGCCAAAACAATCTGAGAGAGGATTCAGATGATTCACAGCAGCTGTAACAGCATAGCCAAAACCTCCACTCTGAAAGTCTGGAGCGTCCATAAAGAAGGCTGTGTGCTCGGTAGCCTGCAGCACCATGTCAGTAGCTTGCCTGAGCTCCTTGATTGCCTCGGCCGTCATAATTTGTGGTCTATACCAAAGGAAAAAAAATTAATAATTAATTAATATTACCCAATGGAGATCCTGTAAGAAAATCAAAAGTCTATAAGGCGAATGTGTGCAAAGGCCAGCCAAGAATCGCTCATCCATCTTGGATTGAGCCTGAGGCTGAGCTGCCTCCACAGCATGAGAAACAATGTCCAACAAACTCATTATAGGATAAAGAAGAACATGCTACCTGGCCGCTGACCATAGAGTCAACTATTGAAGCATCGTCGAGTAAACCAATGAAAGGAAATTCCTGTCATGAAATCGTACAAAAATGTTGTAATAGAATAATATGATTACTCATTATGTGGGAATTTCTATGATTATAATGGACTTATGCAACAAATGCAAAAAAAAAAAACATGCATTGTTCTTCATGTATTGTCATGCATTCAGACACTAAAATCACACAATGATACCTTTGTTATCAGCAGCGATAAACCCCAGAATATTCTCATGGCGTAGCATGATGGTCTGATAAATCTCAGCCTCACGAAACCAGGAACGCTCATCTCGTGAAGAGAAGATCTTCACAGCGACGTCCTCCCCACTCCATTTGCCCCTCCACACTTCCCCAAAGCGCCCCTTCCCAATACTCTCTTGGAGGACAATAGTTCGAGCAATTGTTCTCTGGACCAATAGGGGCAATCCTAAAAGAATATAACATAAGCTGTGAGTTAAAGGGTTGACATCTATATATATGTCCATGCTTCTATTCAAAGCTCATATTTGCATAGCCTTTTTTTGTTTTGATGAGCACAGCCAGTTCTTACCTGATCCAGAGCCAGAGGTGTTCATGTCATAGATGAGCTCTTTTAGGCATTTGTCAGTTGACACCAGAGTCTGGTCATCCAGGGGTTCCTCTGGATCCTGTTTGTGGGCTTTGATGAGGTTGCACCACAGGTTTTGTACGGCACACATTCCCAGAATGACACCTACACACACCAGGCACGATGACACAAGAATTATGGCTGCTAGTTCCAGCTGACTCCACCCAGACCCCTCAGGCGGTGGCTCTACAGCAATACACACACACACACATACACATATGTTGGTCATCTCATGCAATGTTTTTTATAAAATGATGATATTTAGATATTGTTTGTTAGATATCTGTTGTTGATTTCAGTAGATGTAAATCAAATCTTGATTTAGTGAGAACCATGTCAGATTAAGTCAGTTTTTGACATGTTTAATTATATTTGGCAGTTTAATTATATTTGGGGTTTTGACAATTTTGGCCAGAGGCCAAAAGACACCACAATTCTAATAATTAGAAAAAAATTAACAGCCAAGTCTTATAAGGGACATTCCATACCGTATCCATCCCTCATATGAAACAATATGCCAGCATTTTGGAAATATGTTAAATGATTCCATTTTAAACACGTATGCAGACATAATTTGTTTAATAATTTGGGAGGGAAATAGCCAGTTCTTATAGGGGACAAGTATACTGTATACTTGTGGCTTGCCTTGGTGGCTAGTTCCTGTAACTGTCTTGCTATAACTACCAGGTGCGAAAGCCCCTATAGAGTACAAATATTTTAGAGAAAATATTGAATTAATTTGTATGTTACTAGCTGAATTTGGGTAAGTATGAAGTGGATGTGTTGTAGTTTATATAAATTTTAAGGTTTCCAAACATAGTTATAGATAAATCCTTGTAAATCCTGTCTCTCTTTGTTTCAGTCACTGCTGTTGCACCCGGAGGTCCTAAGTACTTTTTATGGCAGTCAAATGCAAGAGTCATAGGAATTAGTTATGAGATGGATTAAAGGCAGAAACCACATATGGAGCAATGAGAAGTCCTGTCCTTCCTGGGCTTGGGGATAAGGGTTGTCTTCTTGCCCTCTAAAAGGTGTCTGCCAGTTGCCAATTTCAGTCAGGTTTCACGCCCCACCATAGCACAGAAACTGCACTTCTTAAAATTACAAATGACTTGCTTCTTGCGTCAGACCAAGGCTTGAAAATAGCAATACATTCAATATACATTGCCCCTTGGTAATATTATTAGAAAATACGGGATTAGTTTCCACTGTTATGCTGATGATACTCAACTATATATCTCAACAAGACCAGATGAAACTTCTAAATTATCTAAGCTAACAGAGTGTGTTAAAAATGT